TCCAGTCTACCATGAGAGGACTAAACACATTGAAGTAGATTGTCATTTCATTCGATCTAAAGTTGACTCGAATGAGATTGTTACACCTTTTGTTCCTTCTGGTAGACAACTGGCAAACATCTTCACTAAGGCGCTTCCCAAGAACTCTATTGATTCCATATGTAGCAAGCTGGGAGTTATTGACATTTACTCTCCAGCTTAAGGGGGAGTGTTGTACAGTATTGTATGAGTTGTCGTACATGTACAGTTAGTATTATATGAGTTGTCACCTACCCCTCATTACCATATATAGAATTATCATGTATAGGGTTTTCTTTTTCTCCACTCACCTACTCTCGTAACTTCTCCTATATAAACATTATTGTATTATTGTATTTCCCACTCAATAACATATAATTTTTCATATATTCTCTCTCTCTTTCTCTCTCTCAACAATTTTTAACTTTTGATTAGATTTTTAGAAGTTAGTCTAGTTAGTTTGTGGTGGTGTTTCCTTTTCTGATTACAACTAAGTAAGCCTAATTCCTTTGGAATCAAAGGACTATATAAAGACCTGTAGGCTCTCATAATCCATCATCAGACCTGTACAAAGAAATTTCTACACATTACTAAGAGATCATAATTAGAGACCATATTTTTATTTTCATCATCTACATCTTGCATTAGATGGCGAGTTATTATTTGGAGTGTTGATTGTCATCTTGTGGAGCATACATATCATCAACACTAATGTGTTTCTATATAACACACAACTTGAACGACTAGTGGCTTGAGACCGAAATCATTATAGAAGCAGAGTACCAACACCACCACTCCACGAGCCTATTTCCTTGCTATCAACGTCATCGGTGTTTTTCCTACTCTACCAACCCGCATACTACGTCTACCCATCAACTCCCTTATGAGACTACATCTCTCTTAATCTCAAAAGTCTAATATGTACCTATTTATAGAGTTACAAACACAATTCTTGTTGGACAAGGATTACAAATCCTTAGAGGCCAAGACTTTCCAAACAAGAAATTACCTAACAGAATACAACTCTAAAATAGAATCCCAATTAAAATAGGAATTTGAGACACAATTTCCAACAATTTCCACCTTGGCTCAAATTCCATCCAGCCAATCATCGCATCCATGGCATTAATCATAATCAGGGCAATTCTTTTGCAGCTTCAATCTTGACGATACTCCTGCGAAAATCCAATTGCCCACATTATACGTTGCTCGACTACTGAAGCTGATTGACTCGACCAACAACTGAACCTCGTTGCAGCACATGTTGAGACTTCTTTGTTGTTAGGGGCTTATTTGTTGTTGCGTGTATAATGTTGGGGCTTATGTGTAATTTCTGAAACTTGTTATTATGAATAGAATGTGGTGGAAGGATGAAAGTATTCTTTCATTCTTTCTCTTTCCCCATCTCTCTCTCTTTTTTTCTCATCTGTTTTCTTCTCTTTTTCTTCTTCTTCTTTATCACTTACTCTTGATTTGATTATTTCTTGAATTCAACATTCATGTGGTTTTTATTTTTTTATTTTTTTATTTTTTTCTCCTTTGCCTTTGGCTCTGATACCCATTTGTTGGGGAGCGAAAGCGCTCGAATAAGAAAGATTCAAAGAAAGCCAACAAGGCAATCACACACAAACACAAGATATACATGATTCAGCCAAAATCGGCTTACATCCATAGATGAGAAGAGATTCCACTATGATTCGTGAGATATTACAATAATGGAGTACCAACACCACCACTCCACGAGCCTATTTCCTCGCTATCAGTGTCACTGTTGTTTTTCCTACTCTGCCAACCCACAGACTACCTCTACCCATCAACTCCCTTATAAGACTACATCTCTCTCAATCTCATAAGTCTCAACCCACAACATATGTACCTATTTATAGAGTTACAAACACAATTCCTTATTAGACAAAGATTACAATTCCTTAGAGGCTGAGACTGGCCAAACAAGAAATTACCTAACATAATACAACTCTAAAATAGAATCCTAATTAAAATAGGAATTTGAGACACAATTTCCAACATATACATAACTGATTTATATTGTTGTGTTCAAACTATTATTAAGATAATTTTAAAATCAGGTATTGTTAATCTATTCACCAACCTAAATCCATTTTTGCCCCCTAACAATCTGTTTGAACCTTTTTTATACAATTTTATGTAATTTAATTTATTGATATGGTTAGGCTGTAGTCTAGACTTGGTTTTATCACAAAATTGTAAGAGATGGAGATTGTTTGGATTTAGTTGCACTTTATTGGCTAATTTCGTATCAAACTTCTCAAAGCGATTTTATTTTATTTTCTCTCTTATATTAAGTCCTTATTGTTTAGAAGTCATGGTGATTAACCTCGGAGTGTGACGGCCCTCACCCTATCTACCCTATTTAGACACAATATTGTCCACTTTTGGCTCCCTCGGACTAGAGACTTCCCAGTACCCATCCTGGTACTACTCCAGGTTAAGCACGCTCAACTCCGGAGTTCTGATAGGTTCACGGCCATCACGGCTTTAAAACGCGTTGTGTCATAGATGGGCGATGAACGTACATATAGCACTTCACTCTTCCACACCTAGGGAATGTGGGAATTGTGAGCACATGTAGCTCGTACGAGAGCCTTGCCTCTCACAGGCTTGCTCCCGCCCACCGAGCCTCACAATTCCACCCCCTTTGGGAGCTCAACGTTCCCGTCGGCACACTTCCGATTGGGTTAAATTTTGATACCATTTGTGACGGCTCTCACCTTATCCAGACACAATATTGTCCGCTTTGGCTCCCTCGGACCAGAGACTTCCTAGGAGGTCACCCATCCTGGTACTACTCTAGGTTAAGCATGCTTAACTTCGGAGTTCTGATAGGTTCACAACCATCATGGCTTTAAAACGCGTTGTGTCATAGATGGGTGATGAACCTACATATTGCTTTTCACTCTTCCACACCCAGGTGATGTGGGAATTGTGAGCACATGGGGCTCGCACCAGAGACTTGCCTCTCACAGGCCTTTGCTCCGCCCACTGAGCCTCACACGGAGATGCTCAAGAACGGCTTGAAGAAGATCAGATGGTGATTAGAAGGTTACCTCAAGGGTTCTTCAATCAAGGCTGAGAATGACTTTGACCACACACATTGGGATAAGGTAAATTTTTGATATGGTTGATAAAAAATAAAAACCTGATTTGGTTTGAATTAGAAAGTTTTTTGAGAAGTTGTATATATAAACTTGTGCCTTTAAAGTTGTTAGAGTTTCTTAAAACTTCTTTGTATCAGATTTGGATTTTGAAAATTTTTCTGGCAAGTTTAACGCTATACAGATTCTTACTAACCAATACTTAAAAGTATGTGTCGATGCATAACTTGGCAGAGAGCTGTTCAGTGATGCATTGACTGGCTGATTGTGGGAAATCTATTCCAAAAACCTTTTTTTTTTTTTCTTTTTTTTCTTTTTTTTTTTTCTCCAATTTTAGTTATCCACTTGGAGAAGGGTTTCTAAGAACTATAAATTTTCCTAAAAGTTCACCAAGAAAATCAATTTGCTGCTTTCCTTTAAGAACTTTTGCAGCATGCCAGACCCAAATATTTTCTCGGTTTTTCTCAACTTGAGTAAGCAACCTTTTCTGCTATGAGTAAAATAAGATATAAGAGCAGAGAACAATTAAAATAATGAAGCGCTTATAAAATAAGAACAAGATGGGTTAAGATAAAAGATACAAGGTGATAGAAGGTCATAATATATATGGAGCATGTTGGTATTACAAGTGGTAATTCCTACCATGATCCCATATAAATGCAAGAGTAAAAAGGTACATGAACAAGAGAACAATTGTTGTTCTCTCAGATCTTTGCAAAAGATTTTCATGAAGTTCTGAATACATATAGCTTGAAAGTTTGAGAGATAAAAAGTTGAACAAGTGTGTGTTTCAATCTTTATTCTTAAAGCTTGAAGTGAAGATCTTAAAGAACAGCAAGTAGCAGGCTTCCACAGCAACTTCACATCCCTGAAAAAATTTATTCAGGAGCGTTGGTTTGTGTAGCAAATTGGGGCATTGACAATCAGTGTACGGAGATAACGGGTCATAGGTTACTGATTACATTGATGGATGGTAGCAGCTGGTGATTTGAAGGTTGGAGTTTGAACTGGTGGTAATGCTATCATTATAGGTAATGACAGGCTGGTGATTATAGAGGTAGTTTTTAATTAGTTGGTAGAGTTGTACACTTTCTTGGTCATAGAAGATGTTGCCCCATGGATTAGGGGACATGATTTTTTTTTTTATGTTATGGTTTTTCATGTGAAACAAATGGTCTCTTTTACTTTATTTGTTTCATAGTTTATTGTATTCTTTAATTGGATTAAATTGAACTTGATAATTAGTTAATTTAAAATTAATCAACCACAAAAGCATAGGCCTATTCACCCCCTTAAGTTTGATTCCTATCTGTTTATTCATCTGACCATCTGCTTGCACAACTCTCATCGTTGTTACTATCTTAACTAATAAATAACATTCATAGCATTATTATAAATGGAAATCACATCACTATTCCTTGTTGCTGCAATTGTATGTTTTCACTGCAAACGTCCATTCCATCTTAGTCGATTTTGTGTTATTTTATCTCATTGTTCCTTGCCAGCCAACATCTTACTATATTTGGTTTGGTAAATATTCTATAGAATTTAACTTACAGTTTCAGTGGGTATAACACATATGTCATGATCACTCATCCAGTTAACTCATCCTGCTTTGACTTTATAAATAAATAATCTCCAATTTTCCCATTTTTGTGAATAACCAAGCTTCAAATTTGAAACTGACTGTGTTACTAATGTTATGTTCCATTAGTTTTATTTATATTCGATTGGTGGTTGTGGTGGTGGTTGTTATGAAAGAATGACATTGTTATATTTATAGTTTTACTAATGTTAAGTTCCTCACATTCAATTTTAGCACTACTTGTCTTATTGACTATACCACAGATTTAAAACCTGGAGAGAAGGGCCTGGACTGGCCAACAAGAAAACGTGTAGCTTTTGGTGCAGCCCACGGTCTGGAATACCTGCATGAGCATTGCAATCCTAAGATCATACACCGTGATTTAAAAGCTGCAAATATCCTTCTAGATGATGAATTTGAAGCCATTCTTGGAGATTTCGGGCTGGCAAAACTAGTAGATTCAAAATTGACGCATATTACGACTCAAGTGCGTGGAACTATGGGGCATATTGCCCCAGAATATCTATCTACAGGAAAATCATCGGAAAAGACAGACGTGTTTGGATATGGTATAACCCTTTTAGAGCTTATTACTGGTCAGCGTGCAATAGATTTCTCTCGGCTTGAAGAAGAAGAGGATGTTCTGCTGCTTGATCACGTAAGTTCTAATTTACCAATTTCTGTACCATATAAAGGCTCATATCTGTTTTATGCTTCCTTTTCTTTGGGATAGGTTATGGTTTTTAAGAAAGCACAATATTGCATGCTCTTCTGTTTGAGAATGATGTGTATTTGCTTTCTTTTTCTTTTAATTTTACATTTTGGCAATAGTCCGTTGAACATGTTTGATTCATAAGATTTATTACAAAGCTAGGTGCTCTCGACATTTTTTATTGGTTCGCTACATAAATTCCATCCCTTCTTTTGTATGCTCAGGATATAGTTGCTTGAATCCGTTCATAAGACTCATAACAGGTAGGAGACTATCATGTGACTAGTCTAAAATATGTGATGGTTTGCAAAAAAATTTAGTGAAAAGAAAGTGCGACCACCTGATTACACATAGCAAATCAACATCAGAACTATCTATTGCTCCTCTTTATTCTCTAGTATTTTTAATTGAACGACTTATCCCATGAAATTTTGTAAGCTTAATGATTTTTTTAATAATTTTTCATGGGATATGAAATGGTCATATGTTTTAGACTACTCAAATGAATGCACACCAAAGTGTGAGAGTTAATTATCTTGTGTTGTAGACTTGTGTACCTTCTGTGAGTGGAAGATTTGTTAACAGGTGTTGGTATTCTCAAACCAGAATGGGTTTTAAATTATAGAAGAAGGGAATTGGTCTCATGTAAAGATTGTAAAGTGATTTCCGGAGGAAGCCTCGCAAACCAACATCTCATAGTAATCTTTGACATATTAAATATAAATAATTTTGTAAAGCATAAAATATAGGGAAAATTACACTGACACCCCCTCAGGTTAGGTCAAATCTCACATAGATGGACATTTTGGTTTTAACTTGCACTCACATTTTGAAGAGTTAATCTATATTTCACTCACACCCCAAATGTCACTTTTTAGGGGTGTCAAAGTACTTTTTACATGCAAAATAACTATGCTACCCTTTTGACTTGTTGACTTACAAAAAGGGTTTTTCACTTATGACAAAAATACTCTGAGTGACCCATAGAAGCTGTTATGCAGCTGCACTCATAATAGCCATTCTCAACAAACTATCAGAACCCGTCACCCCCACCCAACACCTGCATCACGACCACCCCCACCCCCACCCCCACCCAAAAACTCTGTCACCATCACACATCACCCAAAACCACCCATAAAAGATATTCAAATCAGAAATTAATAATTCACTATAGGAGCCTTCTATAAATGAAAAAAAAAAATGCAGAATATATACAAATCAGAAATTAATATACATGAAAATAAATATGAAACATTAATACTGATAAATAAAAATAATATTAAATTCTTTCAATCATAAACACATACTGATATGCACACATTCAACGTTGAATCCTCGACTACATAATTTTACATTCAAACAGACCCTACCAAAAAACTAACGTTTTCAGAGATAATGCGATGAAAAGAAATTCCCTTGTAAGAAGATATTCAAAAAGACCTCAACCGTAGAAATCAATATGTTAAACTTAATTACATTACACTAATCAAAATCTAAGTAACAAATATATGATGTTCATCAGTATCCACAATTTTGACAATACATATGAGATAAAAGGGGATGTAATAGGGTTACATAGAATATATGCATAGGAGGCTTATATATATATATATATATATATATATAGATATCTTACCGAATACGGTGTTGATAAGGTCCATGGCGACCTGATTCTTGGTGGCATCTTTGATGAGGTGCTCTGTGTCGGTGAAGGCGACATAGGATGGTGTCGTTCTGGAACCTTGGTCATTGGCAATGATCTCGACGCGGTCGTGTTGCCACACTCCAACACACAAGTATGTTGTATCCACATCGATTCGGATCGTCGGACCTTTTCCTTTTCCAGCCATTGATTCAATTTGACATCCATGCAACAAAGTAAGAGGAGATTCTGGTTAGTCAGTGCTCACCAGGTCATGACTTCTAATTCCGGGCACTATGTCGCTTTCGTCCTCTCCTCTCCGACGGTTAATTCCTTTAACGATACGCCGTTGAAGCAACTCAAGCTTCTCCAATTGCCGGACCTTCTCATTTGACCTTTGGATTTTGGATGATTTATCTGATTTACTTGCTGTGTTGAAAGAGTTCACTGCAAAGAAGTGCGTGAAACTTGCGAAATTGCTAAAGTAGAGTGGAGGACTTTCACCGAAGAAGGAGACGGTTTGTAGCTATGTTCTTCTTCGAAAGTGCAGAATTCATTTTTAGGAGGGCCAAATTTGGCTTGTTTGGTTAAAAGTTCAGAGTATCCTAATTTAGGAACTAGACTAGAAGCAAACAAGTTTTGTAGTTGATATGTGCTATATTTAACCAGTTCGAAAAACAAACAAATAGGGGTAGTTGTGTAATTTTAGTTTATTGATATATTGTATTAAGTTGTACTAAAAAATGGGGGTAAATGGGTCAATTCGCATGTGTCAGAGCCCAAAAAGTAATTTGGGGTGTAATTGAAAGTTAAAACCAAAATTTCCATCTATATGAGATTTGACCTAACCTAAGGGGGTGTAAGTGTAATTTGCCCTAAAATATAAGTGGAGAGAGAAATTAAACGAGTAGAACACACAACTATTATGTGGTTTAGGCACTAGGGTCTACATCCATGGCACAAAGGGCTACGTATCTTTCGTTATAATCTCTCTTTTAATACTGAAGATTCAAGAAAATGTTCTTTATTAGGAGGTATTTTCTCACACTCCAAACAACCTGCTCCTTGTTCTTCTCTATTTTTTATTTATAGAAGTTTAAATTTTGCCTTAGTTTCCTATATTTTTCCTTCCAACTCGGAAGTTGATGGGCCACCTTCCGTTGTGGGGCGATTTATCAATCTAAACTGACCCAAATGGAGGTACGGTCTTGTTATCTTGGACTCTACATGTACTGGGCCTTACCTTTGGGCCTTAAGGTTGATGAAGGGCCTGGTCGGTCGGGTGCTTTGGTCTGCATCTGGCCCGGCACATTTCCCACCCTTTCATCTGCCCCTTTAATTTCGCCATAATAATTAGGGCGGGATTAAAGAGTAATGATGGCAACACGGGTTGTGGTTGGATGTGATGGTGTGGGGAAACGTGAACGGCTGACATTCGCTAATGTGCTTCGGTCTTTGAATCGTCATGATTGTTTCGTCTTTTGATCTTCCCACGTGATTGATTTCTGCTTTATAAATTTGACGTGACTCTGGGTCCTTTTCCTCTCCCGTCGTTGTCTACCATTTCTGCGCTCTAGTCAATGGGCTTCCCTCCGGTCAGAGTTTTAGGTTTCCGGCGGTGATCCTATGTCCCGTGCCCCTTTTTTCTTCATTCTTTGAGGTTAGTTATGTACTTCTTCTTCTTTTTCCTTTTCCGGCCTCTGTGTATATATATCTTTCTTTTGAAATCATGGTTTTTGACCTCGACGCTCTCCGCGTTCATTGTAACCCGGTGACGTCACCACTCGCCTTTACATGGCTGAGGAAGTGCTAGTTCCGGTAAGTGGTCCTACTGAAGATGAGATTTTATTCACTGCATCTCATCTATGCATGATTAGGTTCCCTCTTCACCCAATGTTCCATGCCATTCTCTCAAAATTGGGACTTGCCACTCTACAAGTCAATCCAAACTTTTATAGGACAGTGTCCACTTTGATCCTCTTAAATCAAACTAGGGAGCTAGAGCTTGGGATGTTTGACCTTCTGTTCTGCTATAAAGTAATCAAGATCAGTAAAATAAGCATTGGGTATCATTTCCATCCCATTGCTAATCGGAAGATATGTGATGGCAACCCTGACTCAGACAAAAATTAGAAAAAAAACACATTATCGTTGTGGGGGGCAACTGGAAGTCCCCTCAGTCCGTTCGGCTTAACATCTCAAGAAAATTTGGGTTCCCTTTACCCACTTACTCTCCTCACAAAACTCATAAATACGAGTGTATATGTCTCACTTGCCTCCTCCTTTTCTGCAGTTTTATTGCTTATCATTTGGGGCTTTCTGTAGATTTATTTGACTTTGAGTTGTGTAGTGCGAGGGTCAGAGTCTTGATGGAGAATGTTTGGAACAATATTCCTTCTGCTCCTTCTTTTCTAACTGAGGAGGCTTTAGGGAGGGATCACTATTAAAGCTTCAATAATGGAAGACACTCAGATTCCTACATTTGGGAGGTCAAGGAGGAATACTCAAGTTGCTACTTAGGCTCCTGTGGATGGCTAGGCTCGAACGGACCCTCCTCCCGCTCCTACTACTTCCCCATCTTCCTCTGCTAAAGACAGATCCCGGGAGAAAAGGCCGGCAATCAGGGACGAAGAGGATGATGCGCCTCTTGCCTTGAGATGCAGGGTGACTCCCGTCCGAAGGAACCAGGGGGTCGTGATTCGGGATCTTTATCCGATTGACCTTTCTCCGGAAGCCAATGCCTCCGGACCTTCTGTTGCCCCTTGGATGCCTCTCTTTCTTTGGGAGGATGGGACTTCTGTGTCCATGGAGGACACTATGTTCAAGGATGGGCCCACTTCTTTGGCCTATTACCGAAATATGAGGACTCCCAAAGATGTGGAGTCCCAGGCCAAACTCAACAGGGAGGAAATGTTCTCCCAGATCCCCAAAGGCGTTGTTGAGGTACTATGCAAATACATGTTTCTTTTATAAATTTTTCTTTCTTGTTTGTGTATTATTTTAAAGGTTAACTCGTCACTTATTCACTTGACTTCTTAGAATCCTTTGTTGGTCTTGTGGACTCTATTTGGGATGACCGCAATGTAGAGGATGATTGAATAGGGTGACAGGAGGGTTATCAAACTCTGTTCCAAGGTCAAAAAGGCTAAGGAAGATCTGCAGAGTGCTTTAGCTCGAGTGTAGGCTGTTGAAGAGAAGTGTGTTGTTGCCAAGAGTGAGCGTGCATAAATGGTCAGCCAATTTGAGGCCGAGCGTGGTGCTTGTCTTGCTTTGGAGCATAAAAATGACGAGCTTATTGGGGAGA